TGCCCGGAGGGGTGCAGGCGGTGCTTCCCCCCGGCAGCCCCGGCCTGCCGCCTCGCTCCATTGTTACCCCGGCCGCGAGTGCCCGCCTGCCCCGCGCTGGCCTGGGCTCCGCTGGGAGCCGGGGGAGCTGCGGAGGTGGAAAGCACCAGCTGGCGGCGGCCCCGGGGCCCCTCAGTTGCTTTCGAGGGCGGCCCCGGGGCCCCTCAGTTGCTTCAGAGCATCTCCTCGGGGTCCGTCTGCAGCCGGCTTGCACCAGTCCTGCGAGAGGCCACCCCCGGCGCGGGCCCCCGGGCCCTGCTCCAGTGCGGCCCGGAGACCTCCCCGTCGGCCTGGGGGAGCCCGACAGCGGGGCTCGGCTCTCCTTGCTTTGGTGCCTCATAGATCCGGGCTCCTCATTTACTCAACAACTTGTAAGGACCAGAGTGAGCCCTGGTTTAGCACTGACCTACAAGGGACCTGCACCAGGTGGGATATCGCTCCCAAAATGCTTTGTGAAACCCAGCTGCTCTGCCTCATTTACCCCTCGTCTGCTTTACACTCGCCTTAAAAAAAAATAAAAAAAAAAAATAATAATAATTAAAAAAAAAAAAAAAAAGGTTAAGATGGCTCATGACTGTGGTAAGGCTGATACTTAGAAGGTGAGGATCAGTTTAACAGGGAATGGATGGGAGGTCCGTAATAGGCGTCCTTTTATTTCGAGTGGCGTTTTGTTTTGTTTTTTTTCTAAGTATAAATGCTCCCCTTCCCATTTACCTTGGCTGTTTGTCAGATGTGTGTTTGACACTGCTGGAGGGGGAACTCGGTCAAAGAAGTGCTATTCTTTTAAGAAGCCAGGCCAGAACTGGACAGATAGTTGCAAGTAATCCTGAACAGTGCTCTTTTTCATAGACATTAGTGCTGGAAAAGACCTCAGAAGATCATCAAGTCCAGTCCCCAAAACACCCAAATGAGTGTTTCTCCAAACTTGGGTGTGTAGTTTGTAGCCGTATCTCTCCAAACTTGGACATTCTTTAAAGAAAGCAATTGCTTTAGCAGCCCTCACTGTAATCTGGTTAATGTATGTGCCTTGTCAGCTTGTGTTCAACCTCCTGCATAGTAGCCTTGTGGCTCTGGAAATTTGGGAAGTGTCACAGTTCATGCGGCTTAGCTCTGCTTTATTGTTATGAAAAAGTTGAACTTGGATGCCTAATGATGAAGGAGCTTTGTGGTTCTGATTTTATGTAACTTAATGTCCATAAAAGTTCATTGTCAAGTTATTGAAAATAAAGAATGGGATTGCTCCTTGCAAATGTCTTTTTTTCCACAAGATAGTTTTAAGATGTGTCCCTTAGTTGTTTTATGAGGAACTTCTTGTATGAGAGGAATGACATCTGGATTTAATAATTTTGGCTGTCCCGGAGAGATTTATTTCAAACTAACTTTTCCTCTTGCTCTTTTTAAAATATACTATTTTGTTTGATTGATATCACTCGGATGCAACAATGCAAAACAGTTTTTGGCTGGGTGGCATTGTTTTTCTTCTTGCAAGCAGGTAAATAAGTTTTTGCTTGCAGTGATTTAATGTACGTTAATGCAAGTTAGAGGATTAAGGCTTGGGGGGAGAGATGTTAAGCAGTCTTTCCCTCCATGAGGAAATTGAAATTTTGTGTAGTAAGTAACAGATCTGAGACAGTATTGTGACTACACCTTAGGCAGGTGATTCTCAACCAGTGTTGTAGATCCTTTCAAGGGTGCTGCGAGGTACACAGTGGTAGGTACTGTTGGTGTAGGTAGTTGGTGGTAGTAGTAATAGTAGACTGTTAGTAGGTACTGCAGGTGTCCAAACACTATTTGCAAGGTAAACCCAGAGATTTCAAATAGATTTCATAGACATCAGGGCTGGAAGGGACCTCGGAAGATCATCGAGTCCAGCCCCCCGCCCAAAGGGCAGGAAGTCAGGAATCCATATTGTTAAATCATACTGACTTACTGTGATCTTTTGAGTTCTTTGCCAAGGAATGATTGCTCATTTGTTTTTCTGTAGCACAAAAGAGAGGGAAGACAGAGCTAGCATTTTCTGAAGGGTCTTTTGAGGTGTGCCTCATGCCTTGAATCTTTCAAGGTGTGCCTCATGTCTGAAAAGCTTGAGAAACTCCCCTCCTTTACACCTACAAAATGGCTATATTTATCAGCCAAATCAAAAGTATTCAGGACAGGTAAGCAGTGATGCAAGAATGAATGAAGTAACTGAACACTTTCCAATTAACAACAGTGAGGGGCTACCTGAATATCCAGATACCGCTTATCATTTGGAAATGCAAGTATAAGTATGGAGGAAATAAGAAACTACTGTAAAACATAAACCCACACACTACTGTGTAAATTTTTCAGTACCGTTTATAATCTCATGTATATCTTAAATTGCAGTTATTAAAGTAAACCTTAGAGTGGTTACCATGGTTACTATGATGCTAATCCAGCAGCACCAATTTCTCACGTTTGATAATATCAAGTACAGCAGCTGTCTGGCCCCCAATGTGAACCTAGTTCAAAGTATTTTGTAAACAAGAGTTTCAGTAGAGCTGTAGGTCTGAATGAAATTGTGTGAGAAATGTCTAACTCTGATGCATTATCTTCATGAGATCTGCTTTTTCTCCCCTACTATCTAATGATTCTTACTCAAGTAGTTTGCTGGATGTTCTTAGTAATGTGTTTTTTATGACCTGTCAAGTATTGTATTTTTACTAAGCTAGTTCAACTCATAAAATTATGTTATTTGTATGTAATCATATATACACGCACACGCTGAGGCGAGTGCTTCTGAAAAGTGAAAATTAGCCAGAATTGCTATCAGATATTAATTGCTGTAGTAGTTGCATTTCCCAGTTTAAATTTGGGTTCTGTCATCAGCCAATAAACTCTACTGAATTTTTCCAGTGAAAACTAGCTAATTTCTATTAGAGGCTGGCCTTTTAAAATTAGTTCCTGTAATAATCTGATTCTGCTCTTTCTTTTCCTTTTGAAGAAGATTTTCAATTTTCAGCTGTAAGTTAGGACTGTGACCTGATGTAGAACCAGACTGAGGTTAAATATTAGCAGTGTATAGGCAGAAAAGAAATCCCAGAGACACCTGGGTTAATCATCATGCCCATGCTATCTAAAATACCTACACTTAACAACATAAGGGAGCAAATGGTGTTTGCTTGTTTGTAAATAGGGCAGGTCTCCTGCATAAAGACAGTGTTTTTATTCACACCCAGTGAACCAACACCTCCACCCACTGTTGTTGTTTAAAAACCTCCAGCTGCTCATGAATATGGGGTCAGGGAGGGCCTCCTAAATGTTTCTCTATGCTTTCTCTCCACACAGCCAGCAGAGCTGTTTCCTGTTCTTTGTTTCAAGGCTGGGGTTTGCGTCATACATTCCAAGTGGCATATGTGTGCTCTTTCCTGTTTCAGACTGTTTTTGGGTAGATCAGTAGCCTAGTCCAGGCCCCTTGTCACTGCCCCTCAACTCCCAGTCCCCACCCAGTGAGTTATCATGTCTCTACACACACATGATTTCTTAAGATGCCTGTGTTATGTCATCATGAGATGTCTGAATTAACTTTTAATGCATGGAAGAATAAATAATTGTATTTTTTTTTTCTCTGAACCTGTATTCATAGAACCTGAACTGTTGTTGGGAAGGTGGCATCTAAATTGTATACATAAGTAAATGTTTAAAAAAAACTATAAGCCTAATTTCTGTCACGCATCAGTATAAGTCTGGAATAATTGCATTCATGCCATAGAATTGTATTAGTATAATGCCACTGTTAAATGTAAAGACAGTTCAGACCAGTGTATTTACTTTTTTATAAATATATTGGCTTCTGTCCCTATCTAACCTGAAGATACCACTCTCTATTCCAGTTCAGATCAAGAGTAGAATTGTACAGTGTTGGGTGAAAGGAAGCATGTTGCTGTTACCTAGAACTAGAAAATCCGCATTTCTGTAGATATAATGCAAGCAAATGCTGACAAAACTTTGTTTGGGTTAAAGAGGTCCAATATTTTGCTAAATTCTGAACACTTTTTTTTTTTTTTTTGAAGGAGTAGAGTAGACTTCCCTTCTTGGCTTTGTTGATGGCAGGGAAAATACAAGAAACAGAGAAACAGCAAGAAAAAACTGAAAAAGAGAGCATAAGAAATCTTTCTATTACCTTGGGTCTGACTGGAAAAGAGCTAAGGACCTGAGCCAAAGCTCATTGAAATCAGTAGAAAGATTCACAATGCCTTATATAGGCTTTGAATCAGACCCTAAATGAAATAAGAGATTAATTATTTCTTCCTTTCTGTCACTTGTGCATGGAAGGTATACATTTTCTTTTATATGCAAAGATGTTTCTGCTTTGTCCTATATATGCCTATTCTTTACTTTATTTATTCCTAGTAATCTGTGTAGCTGCAGATAGCATATAGATGTTAAATGTAATTGCATTGAAATCTACATCTGAAATTTATCTAAGCTTCCCCTTTTTAAAGTGTAATTAAATCTATATTAAAGGCAATGGCTTACTTATTTTTAAAAATATGCATACCCTACATGCCAATAATCTTAATTTTGCTTTTTGTCTCTTCAGAAATACAAATTATATGAAAGTTATTTCAAGGGGTCTCAGAAGCTAATAAATTAGGTAAGTTGTGTTTGTAAATAATGTGTATATTATTCTGTTTTGGGAAAAAGGAAAATAGTAAAAATAGCTGATAGTGCTGGAAAACTGTGTATGGCATAGTGTATAGGTACAGTTCTGCTGTCTTGTAAACAATTCTGCACAAGAATTTCAGCTTCATTCTTATTTTATCTTGTCTTCTTGGAAGATCAAAACCTTTGGTTTACTATTGTGTCCAAACCTAGTCAATTTTGTAGTACAATTTCTATAGAAAAAGTTTTTGATATAAAATCTTAAACTGAGATTCAAAAGGCCATACATTTTGTAGAGCAAGTTTTTAACATTAAGCAACACTGCTAGCAAAAGGTCCTTAAAAATAAAACTCTCTTATGCAGTTAATGTTGGAGCTTTGTGTTTTCATTCCAAGGCTAGTTGCCTCCAGTCCAGAATATGAAGTTTGGCAGAGCTGGTTTTGGGAACAAATTTAACCCTTCCTATTAAGGTTTCTTCTAGTGCCAAGACTTCCTTGTAGGGATTTAATAGTCATTGTTGATCTGTCCCAGGGGAAACCAGTACATGAATATGTTGGCTAAATAGAGAGAGAAAGCTTTAACAGATTTTAAACACTAAATCACATCATAATTGAAAAAATTGTGGAAGTTTATCTGGTACATGCAGTCAGCTATCAAACTTTGGTGCATGTAGGAATCAATTCTCCAGTCTTAGAGAATCCAGTGTTTAATCATTCTTCCATCCCTACCATCCTCTCTCACTCGTTCATTCTTTAATTGCCCCAAACACACACGTGCGTGGACATTTCTATTTTCAAATCTTCAATAAAATTAAAAGCATTAACTATTATTCAATCATTACTGACTTTTCACTTGATGTTTGGATTTTTTTGCCTTATGTTGTCAAAGATTTAAATATCTGTCTTGAAGTAGAAGAATAAACTTAATATTAGAGAATGACATTTTCTATCCTAATGCTGCGATTTTTTTAAGATCCTAGCAAATGACTAAACTCTTGTGGTTATAAACACAGAACCTTATTTCTCTGACTTGATGGGGCTCTGTTCTACCTGTCAATGTATGTTTTAAGTGGTTGAAAGAAACATATAAGTTATAATTTAAATTAAGTGCTTTTATAAATCAGTGAGCATAAAAATAGGTTCATTTTTATGTTTGAAGTCTCTAATGCTCTTTCCTGCCTCTATTTTCAGCTACCTTTCACTAATAGTAGGAGGGCTCTGTTTTATATTTGTTCTTTTCAATTCTCTTCAAAATTAACTTTTTTTTTTTTTTCTTCTTCTGGTTCAGTTTGGCCAGGGGAAAAGTGTCATACCATTCTTCATACTTCACTTGCTTTTAAAAGTCAGATCTGTTCTCATTGCTAGACTTTCTCCTTGTGAGCAGTAGCTTGAGACGGGAAACCAGACAGCAGTCTGCCCTGATAAGGGAGAGTATTGTCTACAGGAGGTGGCTAAAGAATTTTTCTCCCTTTCTTCCTTCAGTTCAGTAGATGCAATGTTTGCACAAGGTTCCATGGCTGTAACATTTTCTCAGTTAAAACTTTTTATTTTTTCTGAGTATCCTTAGAGACTATTTGCTAGGATGGTTTCTCAGATGGGTAACTATAGAGTTCCTATAAAAGTGTGCCCTTAGTTTTGATTGAAATATTAAATAGTGTCCTCCTTTACTTCTGATATACATTAATATATCAAAGTAGTTATAGACAAAGTGGCTTCTAATAATGGGAAATGTATATCTTTTGAAGCATTTTCTACAAAACTGTCAATAACTGATTTTTGTCAGTTTGTTGACACTTCTGAAAAATAGGGGGCGAAGTAAGAGAAAAGACCAGCTAAAAAAGTTACAAAAAAGTATTTTTGATCAAGCAAAACAGTTTATTGGCTGAAAACTTAACATTTTGAAATGAAACATCCTTTTGATTTAAAAAAAATGGATATTAAAATGTAAAGTAAACACTTTATGTTTGGGAGAGTTCTTTTTGGTTTTTTGGACCAAAACAATTTAGTGGAATCTACACAAAATGTGTTTCAGTTTGCTCCTTTTTCATGTGGAGGAAAGTTTCAACCAAACCTTCTGCCTAATCTTAACTTTCTTTTATCTTGGAGTTTTCTTGTCTGTTTTACCAGCTGTTACCAAATGCCACTGCATATCCAATGCAAAAAAAACCAAAAAGTCAACCCATTGGTATTTTTTTTCTTGTTGTACAGCCAATTCTTTATAATTTTCCCACTATTGTTCCTTCTAGGCCAAATGCTTCACTCTACTCCCCTCTATACTATCTTCTCTAGCTAAGTACAGACAGTGAAAAAGCCCAGGGCTGAATAGATTCAATCTTTGCAGGTTGGTCTAAGATGTGTAGATTGAATTGATAAGCAAGTCAACAGGCATTCATTTTGATTCCAGAAATGCAGCTACATGCCTGCAGTGGCTCAAGCCAGAAGCCAGGGTGTGCTAGAGCATGCCTCCCTGCCAGGCTGGAGCAGACAGCTGGTGCCAGGCCAAGCCTAACCTGCCCTGCCCTCCTTGCAAGAGGGGGTTTGCAGGGGAGGTGCAAAGCATCCTGGGATGCTGGAGGACTGTGAGTTAACTTGAATCTGGAGTGGTTCTGGGATAAACTCAATAAACCAATTTAACCTAAATCAGTTAAGTCGTCTGATAAATCTGGATGGATGTAGTATTACCAGTTTTGGCCATTTTGAAAGTGGTTTATGTGCACTGAACTTCTGTTGTGTTATAGATCTAAAGTGGTTTCCAATCACTTAAACTGGTTTGTGCATAACTTCGATCCCTACCCTAGGCCTTTACTCCTTTGTGTTTTCTATCGCATCTAGCTGATTCTAAGTGCTAATATACATAAGAACTTTTGGGCTGCTGCTATTTTGGGAGCTAGTTCAGTAAAGCTCTTGCTTACTTCCCATTGAAATAAATGAAACTTGTGTATTTTGCTGACTCAGGATTTTGATGAGCAGCCAGTATTATCCATATAATATTTTCCGTTACCAAGTCTGGAGGGACTTTCTTTACACTTCCAAGGAATTTTCTTCTCAAATTGCTTTTCTTTGTTTAATTATCCTTAAAAGATCCATTGAAGAGTATTTCTCATGCAGGGTCTCACAGATTTCAACAGTGGGGTCGTCTGATAATACCACTTCTCTGTAATAACAGGGGAAGTTTGGCTTGAGATCTGATGATCTGAAACTACTTCTTTCTTCATAATTAGTTCCAGAGAGGCAGAACTGCAAAGTATTGGTCAAACAAGTTGGCTCCTAAATACTTTGTTGCAAAAACTGCCCCATCCCCCACTACACAGTCATTGAAGTAGTAATTCTGTGTATATCATCAAATTATAATGTAATACTTTACAGTCTCTGTACAAAGCCTGAGACTCGCAACACCATAAGTCGACAGTCTCACCTTCCCCAGGCACAAGGACTGACTAAACAAGCTTTGTATAGGTACTGTGCAAAGGTTAAAGGGCAGAATCTGTTTTCTTCTGCCCCCCCAGTCCACAGGCATAACGGAGGTCATACTACTGATGACTATTCCAGATATTTCACTGGAACACAAGCCAAAGCTTATGTATATCTCCATTGGGAGATCTCTAGCATTTCTAAATCACCTTCTTGCATAGTAGCTTCACAGAGTGGAGTGGACCTGCTCCTTGAATATAGACATGCAGAACACACCTGCATAGCTGCTTTGTGCAGCCCTTCCCCAGGGTTGCAAAACAGCCATTGGTGCAGTGCATTCTGTGGCTGCTTTGCCCATTGGCAAATCTTATCCAGAGTAAATAGTCTGTACAAATCCTTGTTGTCAGAATATGTGTTAAGTACTTTTAATCTTTCATTTACTTTTATCCACATCTCTGAAATAACAAACCATCCCCGTCTAGAAGTTAAAAGTAATCTTGACAAGAAAATTAACTATTTTCATGGTAAGATTCCTTTCAGAAAGAAGGAATCACTGAAAATTGGATCAGATGTAGCAGACTTTATTAAAGGGCAAGGTCTTTTTCTTACTTGTTGTCTCTTCATTGGGATAAGATATGAAAATGTTGGGAGACTTTGCTTAGACTTTTGCACCTGTCCTTATTTGCATACAAAAATCAATTACTTCATTTGTCTTTCTGAAGTACAGGGTGTGAGCAGAGTCTTATCAAGAGCCATGTCCTGTTTGGACAAGTTGGGCTGTCTTGGCAAAGATCCATAGGGTGGAGTGTATGGGAGGAGGCAGGAAAGTATAATTGGGTGGCTTGTTAGCAAAGAGATCAAGAAAGGGTGGAATGTTTGCCTACTGGATCACAGTTAATTACTTAGTTTCAGATTACATGCAGTTTAAACTCTTTTACCCACATAAAAAGCATTTTAATGCAAAAAAACTAACCATTTTGTAAAAGACAAAGGCTCTTCTTTGATTTGTAATTCACTTTATGTATGAATGATTAGATTTCTCCTCAGAGTGACTCGGATAGTTTGGAGGATACTTTAGTCTTCCAGAAATCCATCATGCATCCTGGGAGTTTAACCTAGTGTAAAACTTTCAGCTGGTGTAAATTGACTCCAGTGGAGTCGCAGCAGTTTATATAAGGTGAAGGATACGTTTTATAACCCAAACCCATGGGACCAAAATGTTGTCCATATTTTAATGATCTACCTATAAAATCAGTTTATTCTTACCACCTAGCTGGAGCGGGATGGGAGAGGTATTCGTCTTAACTATAGTTTAAAAAAATCAGTATAATACCCAATAAAGAAATACTGTACTTACATATACATGATACAGCAATGAAATTTAAGCCTACTATTGTTAGATTACTCTAACTGAAAGAGATTAAAGAAAAAAAACTTCACTTTTACTCTGTCCACTACACTTTCTATTATCAGTTTCGTTCTAACTCGGCCATACCCATGTGCTGTGAAGCATGAGAATGTAACTTTCTTCAGCCATATAAAGTGTTTCACCCACTGACACCCAGTAACAGGTAGAAAATAAACAGCCCTGAAAAATGGAAATGCAGAACCGCAACAGTGGCAGGAGACGTGGTTGAGGGGAAAAATGGATGACTTGGAATTCCTTTCACTTTGTATTTTTGCTTTAAAAAGGTTATTTGTTGTCATTTTAACTATACCATTTAAATTAAAAATGGAAAGTTTCTGGAAACTTTCTGAAAGCAACTCTTCTAAATTCCCCTAAATGAGGGCCGGCATGCAGAGAAGGCTTTTTGTATTCTGGAACATGCTTTTCCTTCTATATCATCAGGTGTAGATATCTGGGGAAACTGACATATTTCTTTCATATGATGGCACGTAGGAAGATTTAGCATTAGAGAAGATGATATAAAATGTTCACAACCTGAAAAAAAAATCTCTCTTAAATTACAGGAGAGAGAGCATAATTGTTTCTCCTTTTTTTTTTTTTCCCCCCCAGAGGAACATATATAGCCAATCCAGATTGTATCAAGTATTGCCAGCTTTAAAATTGCATTTAATTTGGACAAAAATGGCATTTTCTTTGAACTATTATATGTTTCTTTTTATTTATTTTTTTTCAACTTGGTTTGATCAGGTCCTTCCGTGGGTGATTTATATTGATGCTTAGTTTTACACTTCAAAATTTTATTCACGGTGCTTTGTTTCCTTCTGTTATTTAGGAACCCAAGCTTGAGTGGGTTTTTCATTAAATTACTAAACTTTCTCCTTTTATCCCTGAGATGGATGGGAAAAAAATCATTCTTAGATATATAGTCATTTTATCTAAGGTGTGCTCACTGATTTAACTATTGCATGATTGCTCATTAGTGTGGAACAATTGGAATTTGGCAGTTTGAAGCATGTATACTTTTAACTCTTTAATTCATAAGACCACTTTTCAGCTACCATTAAAGCCTTTTAATTTGTTTAGTGAGCTTTAATCTTACAGTGAAAATGTCCTGATGTAACATGGTAGAATCCTAGTGTTATAGGTATCTAGCACCACCTACTGGAAGTAGTTGGATTTGTTAATGCTACCACTCAGTGTAGGACATAAAGCTTGTCTGGGATGGTGAAATGGTTTTCCATATACTGCCTGTCAACTTTAATACTTTGTCAGCCCTTGAGGCCAGGCTGGATGGGATTTTGTATGTAGCCCTACTTAACATAATTCAGATATATCTATGTATTCATATAACATGTTTCAATAGAAACTTACTACTAGCACAGCTTTTAATATTGGTTGTTTCCCAACTGACTGTGGCAGATGTGTAATCTGTTCTCTTTGGGAAGCAGCTGATGCATCAGTTGTGGTATCTTATTGGCAGTATGCCTGCTGTGCATTTCTAAAATGGCCTTGCTCTTAAGTTTCCTCCCTTTGTGTGGCTAGTTTTTGCAGCAGCAGTGTTTAGTCACCACCATCAGGACAACTGGCTAGAGACTATAGTTTATGCCTTGCGTATTGTGGAATTAATAGGAAGCTTTTATAATAATAAAAATTAACCTTTCATTTTTATTTATATGTATGTATGTAGAACAAGTTTACTACTTTCTGACAAATACGGCATGGAGGTATATCTGAACTTGTTCAGATGATTGGTGTGTAGAGCTTTACTGAAATTATAGTAACATTAAATGACATCACAAAATAATTATTTTGTAATAAAGCAGTGGAGTATATAAAACTTACCTATTTGGAAAAGTGAAATCAAATAAATTTGATCTAACGGGAGGAACAAGCTCCAAATAAAACAATTCTGGGTTGATTCTAACCATTCCTACAACTTTCCAAAACACTTTTTTTTTCCCCCCTCCCCTTCTGTAGCCCAGGACAACAAAGGCATCAGAAGTTTTCCCTAAAAAACATGCTAATGTTTGACCCAGTCCCAATCAAGCAAGAAGCCATGGAACCTGTTTCAGTGGTAAGACTTTCAAGATACTATAATCACCATGATTCTCTTTTATGGTTTTATCCTGCTGCCATTGAAATCAGTAGCAGAACTCCTGTGGATTTCACAGAGTGTATAATTGGACCACAGGCTCCTTATGAGAACCGTTAGGAAGCTGTTTGTTTATTACTCTTAGGCCGTGTCTGCACCTGTCTACCTGGTGCAGTTACATAAATAGATGCAGATAACAATAAAATGGAATAATGTGTGACTTGTACACATAGCAGGAAAGTTAAAGTGGATCACCTAAAGCAGTAGTGTCCAAGCATTTCAGCCCTGCAGACCAGATGAGCAGTGCAGGGCTGACCCATGGGCCAGATCAGGCTCTGTGTGCCAGGATCAAGCCCAGCATGCTGGGATCAGGCCCTCTGCACTCGGATTGCGCACTGTGCCCCCCTTCTCCCTGGTCCTGCATACCAGGTTCAGACCCAGTACTGCCTCTGCCCAGCCCAAGGGACATTCACTACCCTGCACACCTGATCTAGCCCACAGGGCCACATTATCCAGCTTTTAGGATTCCTCATTGATCCAGAAGTTTGCCAGCAGAGGAGTGGCAACCATTCCCCTATTGCCAAATCTTCAGACCTATAAGGAGCCCCGTGGGCCTGATGACATGATTCCAGGGGCTGAATCTGGCCCATGGAACATGAGTTGAGCACCCCTAATCTAAAGGGTGAAATCAGTTATGCATAACTTGAAGCATATTATACCCTCCTTGTGAATACTGCTATTCAGTGAGAAATTGACATTCTCAAACCACAACAACCAAGGCCTACTGTACCTACAAATAAATGGCTGTATCCATATACTTAACACAGACTTCACATTAGCTAACTTCCCCATAGCTTCTTGAGACCTCACGTAGATGAGCCCTTAGAAATATTAGTTCTGGAATACCCAGCTAACACTTGGCTACAGCTGAACTCGTACATTAGTAGCATTATTTTCCTCTTTCTGAAGTCAGTGCCATCATTGTTGTTTGAATAGGTCAGAATGTCAATCCCTTGTTTTTATTTCATGTTGCTATTTGAGCCTTACCAGTAGAGCTGCATAAAAGAAAGCAAATATCTTGATGATATGTAAGCACCTAAGTTCCTGCTCGGCAGTTCTAGGGCAAGTCTGCTGCCGTAGCCTGTTTGCTTCTGTGTACTCAAAAAAATAGTCTTAATGGGAAGAGTTTTGATGGAATATTGTATTTACAAGCTAGTAATGAGAGGCTTATTAAATTAGATCATTTCTGAATTTTAGCTTTTTCTATTCCTGCCAACAGGGGTTATACAAGACTTAGGGTCATGTGGAGGCCTTTGAAACAAAGTTACCATGGTTATTGCTACTTGTAATATTTGGTAGAAAGTCTTTGAAAAACAGCTTTCTGTGGAAAGTTTGAAAAGAAGTGTGTTTGTTTACAATTGGTTTTAAATGGATAGGCAGCAGACTTTTCACTGAAAGCTGCTTTTCAAAGGCTTTCTACCAAAAATATTACAGATTAGTAAAAACTGAATTAATTTTAAAAGTCCAGGTTGCCTTTTACTAAGTTGTTTACTTTGCATTCTTCTGACCAGTGGCAGGGAAATGACTGGTCTAGAAATGGGTTAATACATGACTTTGTGTTTCATCACAAAAATGACTCGCATCATAACAAAAATTAAAATGATTGTTATTTAGTCAGTGTCCTAATCTTCACTTGCTGCACATATATTAATTCCTCTTAGCATAGAGGTGATTACAAAGTGTGTTCATCAGGTGCAGAATGATCATTAACGTAGCAACCCCCTCCCCCAGCAGTTACCATCAGAGTAGTGGCAAAAACGAAGAATTACCTTACACGTGTAAAAATAAATTTCCTTAATATGCATCTGTATCCATCTGCATTCAAAATTTCTGTGATGATTCGAGATGACACATATAAGAACTGGCAAGAGATTAAAACCCTGCCGTAAATAGCCAGATGTTTCTGCAATACCCAGCAAGCACAATGGAAACATTAGCTTCTTGTGGTCTCTTTAGGAGGATTTAGTGACATTTTTTCCCTGAAGATCCTACTGAGGACGTATCTCACGGGTGGGCAAAATATGCCCTGCAGTCTGAATCTGGCCCACCAATTGATTTGTACCTGGCCCATGGCTGCATGGCACTCCACATGGGGCCATGCCTTGCCCGCCCCCACCCAGGGCAGCCCACACTCCTGCCTGCAACAGCAGCACCCTGACCCTGGCCAGTGCGCACAGTTTTTCCCTGTGGAGTTGCTCTCGCTGCTTCTGCTACTGCAGTTGCCCAGGTGCTGCTCAGTTTTTTTCCCAGCTCCAGCAGCTGCTCCTCTTCCTCCTGCCCCTGCTGCACCACATCAGGCCAGCGGGGAGCTGCAGCCGGGTGGCTTCTGCCCCAGCGCACAGGGCTTCAGCTCCAGCTGCCACCCACTGTGCCCACCTGGCACAATGAGCAGCCACCTGCAGGGAGTTGAGTCGGTAGAAGGTGGCTGGAGCTGGAGCCCCATGCACTGGGGCAGGAGTTGCCTGGCTGTAGCTTCCCCCCTGCCTGGAGTAATGCAGCAAGGGCAGGAGGAAGAGGCAGGGAAGCCAAGCAGTACCCAGGTGGCTGCAGCTGGCCTGCTGGAAAGCTGTGCACACAGGTCGGGGAGGTGCTCGGGGCCGGGACAGTGCTGTTGTTGGGTGTGGACAGGAGCACAGTGCAGGCTGCCCCTAGTAGGAGTGCATGGGCTCAGCCCCATTTAGAGCACTGCAGGGGCAGCTGCAAGCCAAAAAAGCTACTCAAAAAGCTGTAAATCAGGAGAAAAATATTTTTTTAAATAGAATTTAAATATGTTATAGTAAATGATTTGTTTTTTATCTGTAATTTGTTAAAATGATAAATAAAGTGTTTCTAAGTATCAAGTTTTCCAATAGACCTTCATGGTAAATGAAGGGTTTTTTTTCCCAGTGCTAGAACTGGTAGATTCCTTTGTCGTAGTGCCTGCACTCTGACTAGCCATCACAAGACAGTTCTTTATTAAATATACGTGTTTTCATTTATTTTTGCGTAAAATGCAGTATCTAGGGAAGGAAGGAAGTTGGAGCCTGAATTCAAGTTCTTTCACAAGAAGATATAGAGCAAAAATTAAATTTAGTGAGGTTCTCCTCACAGATTCCTCAGTTCTTCCCCAGGGTAGGAACCGTGTTTACCTCAACCTCTGTGGACAGACTGGCCACTAGCCCCCAGGTCCTTGAGATCCTGGCTTCCCCTGGTAGTGCAGCTCCCTTGGAGCCATCCCATGAAGGACTGCTTAGCAGACAGCTGCTCTGGAATCATCTTTAAAGGGAAAGAGATCCCTGTGTGAAGAGAACATAGCAAGAAAGGTAACATGGCTGTTAATATGTTAACTTTCTTGACCATCTTTCTGGGGATTGGTAGAGGAACTGCTACTGGCTGGGGTTTCAGAGGTTTTGAGCATGCCTCTGGCTTCATAAGAAGCTGACAGCAAAGAGATCTTTTGAACGAGGCCTTATGAGCACTGAATCTGTTGTTTAACAGCACCATGAGAAGTCAAACAAAAGAAAGGTCTTAAAATAATGAGTAAGCAGTAAAAACAAGTAAAATTGTGTGAACATACACTATATATCATATGTAAAAAAGTTGGACAAAAATACCATTTGTTTATGACCTTAACATCAAAGGGTGGGAACAAATTACAGTGTTAACATCACAGACATGATTCAGGGCGTATGGTTTAAAGGATTAGCTATGCTTCTCAGATGGTTGAAGTCCACACCCAAAGTATTTTGTCCTTCTGCCATTGGCCTCTGCAGTTTATGGAACTAAATTATTATGAATATCTTATGATATAAATGGTCCTATAAACATTTTTTTTATAGGAGAGGTAGTTAGTGTCATCTCATCCCCAATTAAATTAAGTAAATACCTGTTATAAGCAAATGCCTGAACAAGTATAGTGACAATTTATTTACAGAATTTATTGGGTTTTTTCCTATGGTATGTACTTTCTTTGGGAGTTGAAGTAAACAGTATTTCTGCACTATTTACTTCACAGCTTTTTAAAATCAAATCATAGAGAAGTAGAGCTGGAAGGGACCTCCAAAATCATTTAGTCCAGCCCCCTGTCTGAGGCAGGATGATCCCTATCTAAACCATCGCATACAAATGATAATCTAAACTACATAAGTGTCCTATGTGCTCGCTCCTGCCCTCAACGCCTGCACCTCAGAGCCAAGAGTTAAGTTCTATAATAAATAAACTGTTATTGAAATCAAGTGCCTCTGAATTCAGGAGTTACGGAGGGGTGCTGAGGCCAAAATGTTCTGTGATTTAATATGTAAGAATCACAAACCAATTGTAATTGCCTAGCATAATCACTATCCTAAAGCAAAAGATTTCTAACTTTTTAACCATCAATTATTTTAGTCTGCAATCATGACAAATCTGCACCATAAAAATGTCCTTTTGTATGTGCATATTACCAATGATCTAGGAATATCCTTTTATTCCCACTTTTAAAAAATGAAGCAAATGGTTTACAAGCCCTTTCTCTCTAATTTCCACACGAAAATATATTAAACTGCAGTTATAGTTCAGAGTAAAAACAGTATAAGGATGCTGTAATACTTATTTGGGAGATAATTACAAACCCAGGAAATTCTGAGTTAGTTATAGAAATACACCTAACAATCTTAGCTATGTGATATAATATTTATTATTAATTCATAAATATTTGTTGTCCCTTATTAAAAAATGATTTGTGAAAGTTTCCTCTGCTACCTAGCTACAAGATGCCTCCAGTTGTTATATAACTACTGTACTACCTGTTATACTGTAATGAAAATGATACATTTTATCATTCTCACGTGCCTTCAGTTAGACAACACCTATGAATAAGGTGGCAGCCCGGCCCCCCCCCCCCCCCCCCCCCCCCCTTTTGAAAATAAATAGATTTGTTAGGTCTTAAAGTTTAGTCCAGTGGA